AAATCTGGTCAACATGGTCAAAAATAGTCAGGGTCGAACTTCTACTATATGGACATGCTGGGTCGATCCCCCCCTTGGATCGACTGCTGGGTCGATCCCCCAACTTGATTCGCACTTGCTGGGTCGGTCCCACCACTGATCGACTTGCCTGGGTCGGTCCCCACTTGATCGCGACTTTGGCTCGGGTCCGGTCCCCCAACTTGATCGACTTGCTGGGTCGGTCGCCCCACTTGATCGGACTTGCTGGTCGATCCCCACTTAATCGAACTTTGCTGGTCCGATCCGCCCAACTTGATCGACTTGCTGGTCGATCCCGCCACTTTGATCGACTTGCTGGGTCGATTCCCCCACTGATGACTTGCTGGGTCGATCCCACTTGAAATCGACTTGCTGGTCGATCCCCCAATTGAAATTCGTCTTGGCTGGGTCGATCCCGCCCTACGTTGATCGACTTGCTGGGTCGATCCCCCCCTTGAATCGGGGACTTTGCTGGGGTCGGATCCCCCACCTTGATCGGACTTGCTGGGGGTCGATCCCCCACTTGATCGATTGCTGGGTCCGATCCCCCACTTTGATCGAACCTTGCTGGGTCGATTCCCACCATTTTGAATCGACTTGCTGGTCGATCCCCCACTTGATCGATTGCTGGTCGATCCCCCATCTTGATCGAACTTGCTGGGTCGTCCCCACTGATCGACTTGCTGGGTCGATCTCCCACTTTATCGACTTGCTGGGTCGATCCCCCACTTTAATCGACTTGCTGGGTCGATCCCCCACTTTTATCGACTTGGCGGGTCGATCCCGCCACTTTATCGACTTGCTGGTCGATCCCCCCACTTTATCGACTTGCTGGGTCGATCCCTTCAACTTTATCGACTTGCTGGTTGATCCCTCACTTTTTCGACCTCTCTGGTCGATCCCCCACTTGATCGACTTGCTGGGTCGATCCCCGCCACTTGAATCGACTTGCTGGTCGATCCCCCATTGATTCGACTTTGCTGGGGTGATCGACCACTTGATCGACTAGCTGGGGTCGATCCCGCCACTTTAATCGACTTGGCTTGGGGTTATCCACCACTTGATTTCGACTTGCGGGTCGATCCCCCACTTGATTCGACTTTCTGGTCCGATCCCCCACTTGACGACTTGCTGGTCGATCCCCCACTTGATCGACTTGCTGGGTCGATCCCCCACTTGATGACTTGCTGGTCGATCCCCCCATTGATCGACTTTGCTGGTCCGATCCCCACTTGATCGATTGCTGGGTCGATCCCCGCACTTGATCGACTTGCTGGTCGATCCACTTGACTTCGCACTTGCTGGGTCGATCCGCCCACTTGATCGACTTGCTGGGTCCGATCTCCCACTTGATCGACTTGCTGGTCCGATCTCCCACTTGATCGAAACTTGCTTGTCCATCCCCCACTTGAATGCGACTTGCTTGTCCATCCCCCACTTGATCGACTTGGTGGGTCGTTCTCCTCACTTTATCGATTACTGGGTTTGATCTACCACATATGATATTATGGTGGGCTTAAAAAGTATTGTTTGCTAACCTTGGTTTCACGGTAGGCTTACAAGGATGCATTGTTGGCTCAAACGGGGATCCGTGGTTTGCTTCAACTAGGATTTCGGGTTGACTCAACTCAGGATTCCGGGTTGGCTTCAACTAGGCATTTTGGTTGCTAACTAGGATTCTTGTTGGCTCAACAGGATTTTGGTTGGCCTCAACAAAGGATTTTTGGTGGCTCAACAAGGATAATGATTGGCTTAAGACGGATTATAGCTTTGCTCAACTAGGGTCATAGTTTCACTCAACAAGGTCATGGTTTTTCTCAAAGAAGAATCATAGTTGGCTTACAATGATTCATGGTTGACTTAAAGGACATTAGTTGGCTCAAACAAGGATATTGGTTGGGATCAAAAGGTTTTGGTTGGCTCAACAAGGATATTGGTTGAATTCAAATAGTTATTGGGTTGGGCCACAGGATATTGGTTGGCTCAACAGAGGGTATTTTGTTGCACAATTAATTATATTGGGTTGCTCAAGAAGATCATTGGTGGGCTTTAACAAGGATCATGGTTTCTGAAGCAATGATTTTATTGGCTCCAAAAAGGTTTATGTTTGGCTCAACGTCAAATGCCGTTTACAAATCGAAAATCGGACCATTGGTTCAGACGTTATCGGTAAAGTAAATTCCCATGTGATAGTGCTGCGATCTATTCAATTTTTCTACAAGTATTTTTCGGTGCATTTAGCCTTAAAGGCACACGTCAGTGCACTGGCGGCTCCACACATTGGGCATTGGACGAGTACGAAGCAACATGTTGCCTTACAGGTTTGTGGGCAGAGATTCCCAATGAATCTGAGAAATCCACGTTCAAGGCAAATGTTTGCCTGTTTCCGAAAGACCGGACACACTGCGAGTAGAACAAGCACTAAATGTTTGGAGCTCGAAAACTGCAAGCTACCAATTCCCATTACTTCTGATTCGACAAGCGGGTCGTTTGCTACCCGTCGAATGCGTAATGTGCGGAGCAGTCGTAAGAGTTGCCGGGGAACGCACCTGTATCGGTCGAGCAGGAAGCGCACGGCGTGCGGCATCAGCATCTGGCCGAGCCCGGTGCCGGCCATGGACAGCCCCACGGCGCGGCCGCGCGCCCGCGTGAAGAAGGCGTTCACCGCCACGAACGTCGACGGGTTGAGCAGCCCCAGCCCCAGACCTGCAAGCCACAGTTATGAATAGGCAAATAAACAAATACACAAACTAAATAAATGAAGAAGTAGATAAATGAACTTCAATGATCGTAAATAAACTCAATTAAAATGCAATAAACTTAAATGATTGTAAATATACTTAAATGATCGCAAATAACCATAAATGATCATAAGCAAACTTAAATGATCGTAGATAAACTGAAATAAATTTAAACTTAAACAAACTTAAATAAACAAACACATACTTAAATACACAAACGCATACACATGGACGGTTTTCCATAGTTAGCAAAGGAGCCCATGCCTCTCCTTTCTTCTGTCGAACGTTTGCAGCAAACGTTCTTACTACCGTCCTACTATCCCCTTTTATATTCTCACTATTATTATTCCATTTATATGATAAATACAGTTGATACGAAGAAGCTACCAATGTTTTACACCTGAAACTCTGTCACTGTGAAACGGGAAATGATGATCGTACAGGATTTCTTTAAGACTCAAGAAATGATGGAAATTGCTGGGTGGCGAGATCGTGACTCTAGGGTGTATGGCGAAATACCTCCACAAAAACTGCTGCAGAGGATCTGTTGAGAGCCGATCTGTGTGGACGAGCGTTAATGTGCATGAAGACAAAACCTGTGAGTAATCCGCATCGCTTATTCTGAATGGCTCTTGAACGGCAAATATTGCAGGGTTGCTCTGTACCATTCAGCGTTCACAGGCTCACCTCTGACCAGGTGCTTGAGCACAATGCCCCTTTTGCCTTTAAGTGCTTTCGCGTGAACAAAGTCTCCTTGAATTTGGTCTTGGTTGGAGATTCAGTGAGTCACCAATGTGTGCCGTTTGGTTTCTGAAGTAAAGTGTGCAACCCATTAATTGCCAGAGACAATCACACACAAACGCTCATCGCCATCAATGTGCGCTCTCTCCAAAAATGTCAATACTGTTCCCACGAGATTCGCTTTGTGTGCGGGTGTCAGTTGCTTCGGCACCCTCCTTGCACACACTTGCTTTAACAGCAGATTTTCGTGACAACTTCGAGCAATGAGGAACGGCAAGTTTTCGGGAAACGGGTACTGAGATTCATAATCTTGAAACGACAGTTCTCCACAATGCGCTATTTCACTTACTCCATAAAACCATTCGTGATGAGGGTGGATGGCTGTCCACATCATTTTGCCGCCCTTCCAAGAATTCCCAGCACCAACGTGGCATCACCTGCTTTCATGATTAGACTAAGCCATGATTAGACTTGTCACTGCTGACGATGGATTTCGACAGATTTCATGTTCTCTGCAATGAAATATTCTAAGGGTGTCCCCTGGTGGCAAAGACGTCCCAGGTGGCAGGGGTTGGAATTACAACCGCCATTTTCATCCTCTATTCTCATGTTACTGGAGGTATCAGGCAGTGCTATCTGGTGCATACGATTATTACCTCAGTACTCTTTCTCACACGCTCACTAGCCTAGCCTCTTATCTATTGGTCGTAAGAGAGACTTGCGTTTTGGATGCATTAAGTATTAACAGTTACAATGCACATTAAGTAGCAAGAGAGTCCCTAATGACGTGAGCGGAAAAGATACTTATTTGAAGTACTTGAAGAAAGTAGTATTGATATGGAGAATGTACTAATGATTCGGCTTCATTAATTATGCTAATCTATTTTCTTAATATGAATATGTGCATATAGTGCTCATTACAATGTCCGTAAATCTAAGATAAAAGGAAAATGTAATCTCAGAATAATGCAGCCTATAGAAATATTGATCTATTCAACCATGTTGATAACTCATTTCTTCCATAAAAGTGCAGTTAGAACCCTTTTATTTTAAGGTCACGATTTAACAGTTATTTAATGGTCTATACGTGTTATAGCAATATTTATATACTCCAAAGACGGCTTAATTTAATTAACCAACTTTCAAAAAATCACAACAATCCGTAATTAATACTTATTTATATAGATACTAGCCTACTTAATCAGTATATAATAATTTTATACTCAGGTGATCAGAAACGCATTGTAAGTTACGACTGAATGTACCCAATTATTGATTTAGCGAAATATTATATTTTATAGAGAGCAAAAAATAAGTTATATCATAAAATTTCATCATGACGTTCACTGAGTCATTTCAATAATATTGTACCAATATTGTAGTTAATAAGGAAAGAATTATAAAAACGCTAATTTTAACATTTCTGTGGCTCTGTATATTTCAGAAAGAGATTTGGGATGATGTATGCAATCATATAATGGGCAATTGGTCACCAACGTCGTAACCGATAAGGATTGTGAACTATGCGACCTTGACATAGAAATCCTCCACACTGATGTCCTGATAAGTGAAAACACTCGAATGCTGATAACCAATAGTATTTACAATATACTCTCATATGATAGAACGTGAGCAAATCCAAGTTTTGACATTACGTCATACAACTAATTGTCAAAATCTAAGTTTCAATTTCTCAAGCAAAGTTTAATTACACAAGATTATGCATTCCTATACATCTGTTCTATTCCACCGATTTTTATAAAGTTAAGTGGTTTTGGGTGCAAATAGTTCAAGTTTCATTCAAAGGCAACTAATTTGAGCGATGCTATCAGGCAATATGATGACGATAAACGATAAAAAGCCCACAAACTGTTAATCAAAAATCAGTTTCAACTTCGCCTCATATTCACATTATTTATTCGTCACCTGTTGAAATTGATGAATTCTCTTTATTACTCAATTTATTCGTTTTCATTATACTTTAAATATTTCACTTACTGTCATAGAAACTTTGAAAGCATTAATGAGATGTTCACCCCTTTCAATGAAAATTAGATCTGCCTTCATCCAAAACATAGTCTCGATGTTAAGCCTAATGCGTTCTATATCGCACATAAGATTTTGTATGTAAGTCTTTATTTGTAATTTGTTCAATTTACAGAATGCATGGGAAGTTATTTCACAGATCTGAAGGGCATGAGGGGTTAAATCACTTGATCGTGTTCTCGGTAAGTTAATAATAATCTGCATCTATAGATAAAAAGGGCAACGCATAATATATTTTAACTACCGTGCAATCACTAATTGACTAAATCAAGAGTCTAATATTTTCAATCTTGGTTCTTGTATGTAAGTCTTTATTTGTAATTTGTAATTTGTTATTCTTGTAAAGAATAATTGAGCTAGGTGTGTTAGTCTATCAGTCTATCAGTCGGCGATAGACCGATAGATTTTCAGACCATTCATTGTTATGCATTTTTATTTTTAACATTTCACCACATCCACATCTCCAAGACGATATTTGCTCTGAAGCAAGCCATACCTCAATGGACGGTTCACTTCATTGACTAGATCTGTCCGATCAGAAAGATTGCAAAGCACGTGGTCCAGAAAAGAGGGACTTTACCCCGCCCAGAGAGAACCCCTGTTTTTTCGGCTTATTCTGATCCCCTCGGGTAGCACTAAAACTTCTTCCCAATTAAACATGGTAGGGCCACCCTGCCAGCTCGGGTCTACTAGCTTTATAGGCTGTACAGGATTCAAGATTGATCGTTACTCACAATTTATTCTATTTTTATATTTTTAAAGGCTATCTGATGTCTTGAGGGCTAACGCCTCCCGCAGAAGCAGGGATATGAGTTAGTACAACTACAGTTTCATAACATAGTATGCTTACACAACAGATTGTTGAACATTGTAGATCTTTAAATAACAATATATAACACGCAAGGATTATTTGGGCAGGAATAAACACTCACAAATGAAATGACAAGACTGTACTCACCGACCAGAACACTATAGGAGATAAAAAGGTGCCACATTTTCGTGGCCATGCTGGTGAAAAACATCCCCACGGCGACCAGCACGCCGCCCGCCATTGCTACTTGGCGGTAGGTGAACCGACGCATGACGGGGCCCGTCATCAAACCTGCAAAAGGATTTGCTCGTGAGACAGTGCACAACTACTTGGAAGAAGTAACACCTGGAAAATAGTTATTTCTCTTATACACAAAATCAATATACAATAACAGCATACGGATGTGTAGAAAACATACACGTCTTTTAGAAAAATTGTGTGAACTATGGTTCAAGAAAAGACATTGTTTGAACTCCATAACCAATTCGAAGAACATAAAACACAGACCATTTTAAAATATATTTTAAGGAGATTTTCCTAAATAATACGATAGCATTCTTCCCTTCGAACGTGTTAGTTATCCTATTCAGATCTTTCGCATACATACAAGAATTTAGTATACACAGGAGCATCAGAGGTGTTCAAAAGTTTCCTCCTCCATCTGAGGAAATCGGATATGCTGATGGATTCGAGTTACAGCAACTTGAGAATAATTTGAAAAGCTTATTTCCCGGAAATCAACACAAAGCGGAAATGAACTTGGATGTAACTGGTGACTACTAAAAGGAAAAATACTAAATAGCGTGGACACAAAAACAATGATATGAAAAACACAAGCAGCAGTGAAGAGAATCGCACGAAAATGAAGACAACTGGTTAAAAGCAAAGAGAAAAGACGGCATTAAGAAAAATAGTGAAACTAATGACTGCTAGACCGAAGTGAACTGCTAAGGGCAACATATTTCTATACAAATGGAACATAATTACATACAAAAGAAATTAAACCATATTACCAAAACACCAAATGCCACAATGTTCTGTCATACTCTTCATTTCATAATATTCGATAATTGCAATAACAGAATGTCCATATATATAAGACACTATGTTACATTTACTAAATTTTACAGGAGAGCAGTTTGAAGATGTTTTACTATTGATTTCGAAGTGGACTTGGTTATAAAGCACAGTAACTCCGACAATTGTTGATGTATGGCATAGTGTTGTATACATTTCGGTAGAGGATGAATGTGTCAATAATGTCACATGGACCAGAAATAGACAAAGCGCACCATATCTCCGACCCACAGATATGTATTACTCTTTTCCCTCTAATAATGCTGAAGTGGAACCAAAATACGGGCCAAGGACCACATGATATCCTTCTTTCCCCAAACTTGTCCCCCTTCCCCATCCTTGATAACTCACCATTGAATGTTCCATCTCCCATTGATCAGAAAAATCTCCGTCTTAGCCGGTCAAGGTAGCTGTTGAGACATGAAAAAACTAGAAGATGCAGGAATTTTCCCTGATCAGATATTTATTTGTTGTTGTTTTTATTGTTGTTTTTTGTACCGTTTTCTAAGGGTGCTACACTAGATGTTCTCAGTAATACTCTTTGTTATATAATATGTTATGACTGCAATGGTACATTAGAACTTCTACAGATATGAGTAAAATAATTTCCAAAAATGTCAATTCTTCCACAAAAAAAAAAATAGTTTATTTGTTATGATTTTTAAAAGTTGCAAATATTAAACGATTTATATTTATAGCCAGTCTAAAAATATGTCCATGGTCTTTCAGATATTTTTAGACGAAAATGGGTCAAAATGTCTCATTCAGCTACCACCTAGTAAAATACATAAATTTAATACTTCAATTTCACCTAGTATTCGTTCATGTCAAGTATTCTCTGGTCAAACTACTGTTGAAACACAATTCTGACTAGAACTTTGATATTACTAAACACGTAAGACAGTCGTGAAACCAACATTCTACGATCTTTTGCACATATCACAAGTGGCACCAGTCAGTATTCACGCAACCTGTCTCCAACTGAACTTTAGCTCATGAGACGAAAATTATAGTATTCACAAATGAACCAGAAACTATCGAAATACACAATGATATTACAAATATGTGCTGACATAATATAATGAATAACAAATTAAATACCAAGAGGCTATCAGTAGATCTCGGAGTGGTGGGAGAGCTAAAGATTACGAAATATGATAAAGACCTACTACTCTGAAAATAAAAAGATACTCTGAAAATAAAAAGGCTAACATATCGACAGAAATAAGGTAATTTCATTCTTCAATGCAATTCGTAATTTATAGTAATAATTCAAGGAAACCAGGATTTTAATTATAAATTATTTGACAATTAAAAGATAAGAAGCATGTTACCTGATAGAATGTGATATATTACAGGAATTTCCTGGATAGACTCAAAGACGAAGATTCATTAAGATATAATGATAAATTAGCCGAATAAAATATCGATTAAATCACCTTCTTTCATACAACTGGCAAGATAAGATTACCAAGAAGGCCATCATAAAACTGTAGATTGCTATAGAAATTTTACAACTTAACTCTCCAGTCCTGTAACATCTCAATCATCAAAGAGAAATAGGTACGTCATTGAATTCCCATCGATCGCTTCTTCTGAGAGAACTGACTTTGACTTTCTTTACAACAAAAATTACAATTTAATAACAAGACTGCCTTCTTCACAACTTACATCACGTCTTTCAATATTTTATCTATTCTATATTTGATTTAACATTGGTTAAATATACAGTTCATTCATTACAATAGCAGTGAGGTTATTTTAATAATTGATAACTTAGCACCCAACCTTGGTTAGCATGATAACGTGCACAGGAATTCACTTATATTTTATTAAAGATATTAGAATTCTGGCATAATTTTATTATAACCTGTTGGTAGGGATTGTAATAGATGATTGCTTCCAATTGTTGAACCTTGATACCCCGTTGTTATATGGAGACAAATAACAATAACACACTACGTTACAGTAAGAGTAAAACAAATTAGTTAACCTATGAAGTTTCAGAAACGGATAGTATTCCTCAACATTGACGCTACCGAATAGTTCACGTACTATCTTATATGATTGTTGAAAGAAACAAATTTACTCCATTGTGATTATAGCGAGGAAAAAGTCGACAAATCAATACATTTAAACATCTGGATTGGTTGAAATTTCATTGAATACACTAAATTTCCATTGGTCAACCGGAACATAAAATGATCACGAAATATTATTAGTCTTTATTACTGAATTAGTTATCTGAATATTACAGTATTATAAAATTCATTAAATAGCGCCTACCAGCTTCTCCGTTTCGCCAGATTTCATAAATTCAAAACCAGACATCCGACTGCCTTTGTTCGTCTCAAATAAATAAATCCCCAACAATAAGTCAAAATGTCGGCGATGAATCAGTGGGGCCGGGGGGTGCCATAACCGTGGGGGTCTTTCCGACGTATTTCTCACAGCACAGAATGCAGGGGGAGGTGCCCTAAGCCGCGGGACGTACGACGCCCATTAGCGAAATGGCCTGCACGCGGCGCGACGCGGCGCGGCGCGACGGTGGCGCGCCGGGTGGAGGAGCCACCACTTACCAGTTGCGCTGGACGCGGCCCCATGAGCACACACGCCACCTATCTGAACGTAGGAGGCGCTCAGGGAATAAAACGTACTAAACCATATAGGGAATTAGTTGCTGATGAAGCAAAACAGAGTATGTCACATAACATACTACTAGGTTACTAGTCATTATTTTACATTAAATTGATTTCCTTGTGTTTTGATGACATCTTTAATTTGCTAACTTGATAACGGGTCTACTCGGATTTAGATCTTCGTGGAAGTTATTAATTAATAAAACAATTGAAATACAAGCATAATCGATCAACTCCTACCACATGTCTGATATCTGAAGCTATAATACGATATACATACGGATGCAATAGCGATATAAATACGGATACAATACGATATACATACGGATGTAATTATAAATATACCTCGTTAAATATATTAAAAACATGAGCTAGTAGAGTGAGGTTCCTCACACTTGGATAATGAAACAAGCTCAAGGAAGTGATCCAAAGCATAGGGTAGAGTTTCTTCATCTTCACTCTGTCGTTTGCTCTGATACACGTGGTTCATCAGGTTGCAGCATTCAAATTGGTAAGGAAAAATAGACACATCACAATCCTGTATGACGCATTAATTATTAACGTTATTAATAACGGTCGAAGATTGTATACCGACTTGACACCCGCGTTCGTTATTTGAAAGGAAAACAATATTAATTTCTCTCTTTGGTTGCTTTGAGTCGAAAGCACGAAAAATACCACAACGAGCCTTTGCAAAGGTTCAAATTCGGACCGATACACTGACATATTGCAAATGCAACGATTTAGCCAAAACTCAAAAAATGTGTAATATTCAGTATTGCTAGGATAAACAGACATTTTCCTCATTATCTATACTAAACCGTTCTTGCCAATGTTCTGTGTACTACATCGTTCTATGGGCACCCACCGTTCTATGAGATAGTGACCCTATAGATCGATTTAAATGTAGTGTCTTCTCAAAGTTACGAGCTAGAAGCGGAGGGAGACATTGTCATTCACTCGGGCGCTTCATTATGCCTTTTCCCCCCCTTTGAAGCTCCCCATTGAATGACAGTGTACCCCTCTCCTTCCACCTCGTGACTTTAAAGTGGCATTACTTTTAAATCGGACTATAGACAGTTGCCTAGTTCAGGGTTACACAAGGCGTCACCCCATTGGCTGGTCATGGCCCAGCTCTGATCTGGAGGCAACTGATGTAGACCGCTGTTTGTCGGGGTGGCCCATCGTGGGCGGGATGGGGGTGCTCGGGCATTTCGGCTCTAGTTTAGTGAAAGGCAAGTGGCACGCGGGAGACTTCACAACGGGCAGTCGGGCCCGAATTCTAGCATTTGAACAATCCTGACGAGTTCGCTTAAATCTGACTTCAATTTGCCTACATAAGATTTTCACCACCACTCACCAGAGAAGTTGGTGATAGCCACCATGGAGTTGGAGATGACAGCCGCGCCCGTCGTCTCCGCGCCCATCTCCTCCAGGGTGTCGAAAAACAGCAGCCCGAAGACGGACAGCAGGGATTGCGTCGTGGCCTGCAAGAAATCAGGAACACATCTTCCATTACACACTGCATTAGAAAGCCAGCCCCTCGAAGGAGTAGAAAAATAATATTAAGTTATTTATTGGTAATATTGTGTATCAGTTGACGCAACATGATCAAACAATCAACTTATTTTATGTAAATCTATTATCTGATTTCATTGTTAAAGTGTAAATAATCATGCATTTAGATTTATATTTTTAGGATTTATGTTTTTTTGAAAATTACTTTTCGTTGATGAATACATTTGTACTTATTACACTGCAGTCAGAAGCAATTTAACTTAACTGAATATATCAAATATAGATCAGGATTAGGAGAATCCAGTAGTATATTTATCTTCATTCTCAGCAAAAGTTGACTTATCACCTTATTCGCCTGGTTAAAAGATATACGAATTGACGTTATCGGTAGTGTAGTGTTCCGGGTAATTGCAGTGGTATTGATTACAATGTATCTGTGGAAAAGTTTGTGTTTCTGCATCATATGACCAGACTTCTAACACTAATGTTCAAATTAAGGTTTTTAAACGAGAAAATGTTCAAATGAATAACGTTAACTACAATAACAGGGGGAATGAATGATAAACGAAAGAAAATAAAATAATGTAATGTTCGGAATGATAATGATATCTAATATGTAAATGTGATTCTGTGCACTAGCATTTTAAGTGCGGACGTTGAAAAGACTGTGCATTTCGAAGTTTAATTGGATTTAAATCTATGCTAACAAATAAATTATTCTTTACTTCATTGCAAACAGAAAATCGAACCCGGTGCTTGCATGTCATATTTTCAAAACTCAATAAGTGACTGGCAATTTCAATGACCAATTTCCGCGGAAACCAAGGAGAGTGTATGAGATAGTTTTCAATGCACTACCGTTTGGTGCCCATCTTTTCAATTCTCCCACCAGTCAGCTCTATTTTTCTTTCTACCGCCAACCTCCGCGTCAGCTCGCCCTACGTCATTGATGAATGATGAGGCCTTACGGATCACGCACTCACTTACATGACCTAACGAAACGTAAATGCAAAAGCTTGGAGTCACTCGGCAGAACCGTTCAAGATGGTTCAAGTAATAATAGACACGAATATTACCATACAACGCAAGCGTGAAAATTTGCGAACTTCATGCATTGCGAACGCAATCTGTCAACACCCTGCAGTGTATCATAGACTTTTACGAGCATAAATTACGAATTATAAATTTTCATCATTGCTCATGAAAAGCTCCGTAGAACGATTCGTTCAGCTCATAATATAAGAAATAATTATCTTTCTATCATGACTGGGTATATATTATTTCACGTCGTTCCATTGTATATAGAATTTCTTGGATGAGTATTTTTTGTACCGATGCTGTGTATTAAGTGGCAGTGTTTGCGTTTAAGTTGACGGTCACAGAAGATAGGATGTTCGTGTTCGAAGTTCCTGCTTATGACCTCGCGGCTGCATTATCATTGCATTGAATTGCATTGCATTGCATTGCATTGCTTTTCTTTGCATTGCATTGCGTTGCATCGCGTCTGTCGGCGTGTTCACCGGATAGCCCTCAGCGCACCCTCATCCAGTGCGGTGGTCTGTTGGCCCGCATACCGGCAATGTTTCCGCAGACAGCCCCGTCCCCTGAGCGTTTTTCTGGCCACACGTACATCGCTTGTTTGTTTTCATAACCCGCTGCCTTCTTCAGATTCATCATTCATTCATGACTCTTTCACCCCTTCAAGATCTTCCTTGCGTCATCTAGTCTTAGTTTCCTTAACTTAGTAACGATGACAGGTCGAGATCTCAATATTGTCCAGCTTCTCTAACACATTATTTATTATTTAATAGGCTGTCCGGGTGACACCGCGTCCAGGGCGAAGGTGCCGATGTTTCTGTCGCCATTCTGCAACCTTCCTCAGGGCGTAATGCATTGGGATCATGGCATCCTCAGGGCATTACGGCCTGAGGAAGGTCGCAGAATGGCGACCGAAACGTCAGCACCTTCGCCATAGATGCGGCGTCACCCGGACAGCCTAGTAAATACTGACTCCGGCCGCGGAAGCCTACGCTTTCTCTAACACATACTCATATTTTTTCTCCATTCATTATTTCATAAATTACTTTTTCATGCTTGATTTATTTCGGAACTCTACTTCTCTTGAGTACTTACATGATTAATATAGTTGCCTGTCTTCTGCTAGTCGAATATATGGTCTTGAAGGCTACATTCTAATCCCGGTATGAGAGTTAATTGTGTGACATCATTCCAGACATTCATACCACACATCTTATATACCATTCCACATCTAGAACCACAATATGAACCATCATGCCATCCACTATCATGCATCATGTTCCCTATTATTATCCAGTGAATACGTACTGAAAACTACCATATATTTTTTAGAAAAATAGGTCGTAATCATGCACCCACATCCCTTCCTCACCTATCTCCTGGAACTGAGTATGAAATAAATATGCGAATTATTACGTATATCACCAACACATCGTTACATATTTAGGTATCCTAAGAAAAATCAACACAGTAAATATTTAGAAATGAGCCTAGAGAGAACATTTTATGACAATTTCACTTTTATCAGTTTACTTTAATACACAAAACAGTCATCACACTATCATTAACTAAAAGAATTATCTTAAATAGTTGGGTTTCACACTACTGTCGCCATAGAGACGTTTTAATATCGGCTGAGAAAAGTAAGCATGACAAAATCGTAAAGTTTTCTAATAATATTGAAAAAAGGAACACATGAAATTAAAATTTAATATTAAAATAAACTACATTCTCTTGGACTGTAAAGATTTTAATATTACAATAAATTACACATGATGAACTAATATGCAAATTTATAAGGATATAAGACTTTGCATTCTAGTGCTGCGCCGACCACAAGAAGAACATCGGGGGCGATGTACTCTGGGAAAGTACTGGAAGCCGAGAATTTATCTTGAATTTGGCACAAAGGGCAGTAAAAACCGCAGCAGCGCCGCCGGGCAGTGGCTTAGGTTGCAACGCACGTCGCAAACAGCGCTGGCGGCGGCGGCTGCGAGGGCTGAAGATTCGCCGGGCGCGTGCCGGCGCAGCCGCCAGCGCGCTCAGCCGGCGAAGACCATTCCCGCTCCCGCCGTCCACCGCGCCGCGCCCTCCGCCGACGCAGACACCGCACCGCTCAAAGCAAGCTCCACCCCGCCCCCGCCCAGCCCAGCCCCGCCCCGCCCGCCCGCCCCGCCCGCCCCCGCGCCTGCCGCGCCCTCCCCGCCGCCCCCCCCGCACCCGCCACCACGTGCGTGCCGTGCCGCCCCGTTTCCGTTCCCGCCCCGTTCCTCCCGCACCCGTCCCCGCCCCTGGTCCAGCCCCGTCCAGTCCCGTTCCCAGTCCGTCCAGTCCTGTCCGTCTCTGTCCAGCCCCGTCCAGCCCCGTCCAGCCCCGTCCAGGGCCCGTCCAGCCACCTCCAGCACGCGTCCAGCCCGTCCAGCCCCGTCCAGCCCCGTGCGTGCCAGCCCGCGGTCCAGCGCCCGTTCAGGGCCCTAGCCCGTCCAGCCCCGTTCCAGCCGCCGTCAGCCCCTCTGTCGACCAGCCCCGATCCAGCCTCCCGTGTCCAGCCCCGTCCAGCCCCGTCCCAGCCCCGTCCAGCCCCGTGCCAGCCCCGTCCAGCCCCGGCCACCCCGTCCAGCCCCGTCCAGTCCCGCCCCCGCCTTCCCTTATCCTCGCGTTCCGCCCACGCCCCTTTTCTTCCTCACTCTTGCCTACGCCGCGAACTATTCCCCAATCATGTTACGCCGGCACCCCCGCTAAGCACGTCCCGCCCCCGTTCCGCTCCGCCCCCTCTATTTACCACAACGCCACGGACCGTCCCACTGTGCACCTCAGCGCCAGGCACCACCCCGCTATTAACTCACGCCACGCACCACGCCGCCCCGTTTGACCCAGCTGCGTTCTGCTTCGCTTCCTCCGCTCTGCTCATTTCCCACCGTGCCCTGCTCCGTTACCAGCCTCTGCACCATCCGGAGTCCCGTACCTCCTCGTCCCTTTCCTTTCCCCGCTCCTCTGCCCGGCCCACTCCCCCTCACGCACGCCAGCCAAGGCGACAACCCCGCCTCGCTCGCCACGTTATGCTCAGTCCACTCGCTGTCCGTGTTCCACCACTTCGTGCCTCACCGTTGCCTTCCTGCGCAGCTCTCCCAGCTTCGCCCTGCCTCGGTCTCCTCAACGCTTCGCACCGCTTCACACCGCTTCCAACCGCTTCGCACCGATTCGCACCGATTCCCACCGATTCCCACCGCTTCGCACCGCTTCCGCTTTGCCCCACGCCGCATTCACCTCGGAACCTCCTTCCCGCCTGCTGCTTTAATTCAATTTGGCCTTATTTCACGCGATGAGGCTCAGTGCATCGGGCCTACCCTTCCGCCTAATCACGCAAATTTTCCTTATGCCATCTAGCTACGAAAGAGGCGACGAAACAGGAGATTATAATTTAACTCGGAAGCTTCTTGAGACTTTAGCTCAGAAGCTTGAGTGCAGTTTACATGCAGTAAATCTACTACATAGGGCAGCCGGATTTACTTCCCAAAAAAGGAAGAATTTCGCCTCTTTCCAACCTACTCCTTCAATTTAAATCGATTCAACGATACTTTACGCGGCGAGGCTCAGGCCATCAGGCCTGCCTTTCCGCCTGTCCTTGTAAATAACGCTGTTACCGTTTTGCGAGCTAGCAACGAAAGTGGCGACAAAATGGGGCCATTACAATTAACTCAAATGCTTTTATTAGGCTTGAGAATCATATACTTGCAGAAAATCTATAACATGGGACAGCCAACTTCTCTTCCCCTCCAAAGGAGAGAATGCGAAAGATTTTTTGCGCTCTTATCAATCCACGACTGGATTTCAACCCACAAACTTAAATATAACAGCTCGATTCGCTAACAATTACACCACCGTTGTCCCCGCATCACTTACTCCCGGTTTTGCCTAATTTTTTGCTCCGCTCACAACCACACAGCCCCCCCCGCCCCGCCGAGATCCTCACAATGCCATCCTGTTCTCCATGCGTCCATCCCTTCTCCAGAGCTTCCTGTCCCACCCAGCCACAGCCGTCGTCCTCCGCCGTCACGCTGCCCGCCGAATCCCCCCCCGGATCCCGCTCCCCCGCTCTCCGCCCCGCGCCACCCGTATCTCGTGTGTTGACCAGCGGATAGCGCCTAAGTGCTGCGGCATCCTCGCCGGCCCCTAACCCTTCGTCGGCATCGACTGCGCCTCGGCGTCGTCTTCGAGGCTCCCTCGCCCCCATCCGTCCCATCCACTGTGTTCGGATACGAAGACGCCGAAATATATTCTAATACGTGAGCGAATTTTCTTGCCCGCGCTGGTGCAAGCAGGTCATCAATCACGTGATTAAAACTGACAGCTTGATTTCAACGGTAACTGTTTCGGTGCAAAGTACTTCAGTCAATGAGAGAGTTTAAATATTCAAGGCGACCGTATAAGGAACCACAGTAACCCGTATTCAAAATGTTATCCCAAATGTAAAGCATGATAAAATCTCTATCCAAACCCTTTAACTTATAAATGGATTGTCGCGCATTTATTTTGCATATTTTATATTTCCCGTTCCTGTTGACTGATTGACTATTTCGGTTTACCTGTGCGTCAACAGCGACGGTCAATGGTTTGATAAGTGTAGTGCGTGTATATCACGGTAGGTTCATACCCCGTTGTATGGTGAAATGCAGGGATAACCACACGTGGTTTTGCGCGGTTTTGTCCATACAGGTGTCACCCACCAGCGGGGTAATGCCTCCAGCCAGGTAAGATCTAAGCTCCCGTCATAAGTGGTTGTGTAGTTCATGTGAGTATTCGTGTGTAAATAAGGGGTGAGGATAGGACATGGAAAAGAAAAAGGGAAGTGTGCGCACGATCAGTGGCCCTTTTAGGATTAGGGTACTGCTTCCATATTCGCCTGATATTGATTGAAGAACTCATCGAAAACTACCGATCAGAGCAGCCATACGCTTTAATTCTCCTACAGTGAACTCTGTTACGATTTTTTCCCTGTTAGGTACTCAGGTTATTCTTTAGTTGCCTCGTATATTTCATCTCTAGAGTTTTCGCTGATATCTAAAAGAGCTGCGTTCTTGATTAATCAGTACCAAGAACTGATAATACTTGACATTTCAAGCGTGGCGCCGCTGGTGAATGGCATACACCATGCGGCTAGTGGTGCCACATAATGCATCACCTAAAATTAACAAATATACTGTAAATATCAAGCAAATAGGCGATGAAATGTTCATTAGTCGTCAATTGGTTTCCAAAACGAAATAATATTTTTGGTTCATGAAAGTCCCATACAACTTCGTTGAATATGGAATCACAAGAAGTGACATAATAGTATTTTTAATTCAACACCAAAAAGTTACATATTATCAACGAAGCACGCGTTACCAACCATGCGTTAATATTTGTAAAGCAACCAAGTTCGTGTAAAATCCGTATTTGTTGTTGTTTTGGTCAATTCATCCCCTAAAAATTATGTCAACGTGCTAACCACACGTACCCCCTTAACACATAGCAGCGAGGTACCCTAACCGTTAATGTGTGAACTGTGCGCTCACTTTCGTTACCTGTTTAGGCGTTACACGAAGCGAATACATGTTTAAGGGTTAAAATGATGTAGCGCTCATGGTTAAGAAACGTATCATTGTTCACTTCCCCAGTTCTCTTAGCTCTACTTCGTAGACATAAGCAGTTATATGACATCCATGTACTGTGGTGTGCTACATTGGGCAGACACAAACGATGAGGATTGCATCGATTTTACACCTGCATGAAATTCAAATAAACAATCCATCTTTTGATAATATCAAATACTATGCTCATAGAGAGAAGTTTGCAGTGATATACAAATGTGGAAAAATGCTATTGTGAATATTTGTGTCGTATACTAGGTCTCACTAAACATTTTCACTTCGGGAACAACAGAAATGACCCCAAAACAGTTTACGCATAACGATTGTTGCAATGTGCACTTGCTAGTTTATTGTGAAATGTTTTTGAATATTTTGCATAAAATAATTAAAGACGTTGTCATTGCCAAATATATTATTTAATGCAATAGCAGCTTTCGATGGCTTAGCCATCATCATCAGTTCATATTTTATGAAAAATGCCAAAGATATCACACTACAACACCTATACCTATATTTTGCATAAAGATGATTTCATACAAATATTTCTAACAGATTTTATTTATTTTCCTTTTGGAATACAACAACACTTCTTCACTGTGTCTTTTTATGAAATTTTGCCACTACCCATAACTGCCACATCAATAATTACAGCAACAGTATATTTAGTACCATGAAGCATTTTATTCGAAAAATATGCGCATTGGATGTACTTATAGTTGTAATTAAAATCCTACTCACAGAAGCAAAAAAGTGTTCAACATATTAGGCATGGAAGCCTTGTCTCAAATGTCCTTTTCTTTCAACAAAAACTACGCCCAGAGTCAGTGAACAATGAGTAACCCACGAGGTATTCATCGAAAGATGAGAAAGAACATGTTTACTTGCGGAAAGAAGATCCACAGATAAATCTCAATGAACTTTGTAACTGACGTCATACTTCAAGATACTTCAAACAAAATAAAAGTACGTTTCCATGTTTATCTGATTACGAAAAAATCATGACTCGTGTGATAATGTACAAATCCATCGAGTGTACTTAAATGGAGTTGTCAATCGTATCTGAACACGATTTTTGTCTCTACAGACAAAACTCATCACCAGTGCTTGCCAGGATCCATACCAAAGACTGAGTTAAGTGCTCATCAACATATATTAATGAAAGAATAATAGTGCAGAAACAGCGGTGCTCATACAATCACTTAACGCAATCAATTAACGTAACTAAACAAAACAAACAGCACATGATTCTGAAAGTATAAATCTCCGTTCACGGTACTTACTTATTCTGTTCGGCAAGTGTATAGTATTAAATAATCAATAGTCTTCGATCTTAGGCATATAGGTATTATTCTGCAGGAGTTATTTCGGTTATTTCCGGTTATTTTCCATAACATATTGTCTTGAATAATTTTAATATTCATCTTTCAACGTCCTACGTTTTCATTTAATATATCGTTTTATAATGAACGGATTGATAAGGAGTATGATTTCACACCAGATATTAATTTGCTAGCCATGCACGTACTAGATCGATTGATTGATTTTTTCCAGACCCGCAAACTGCACGGTAATTAGTTATTAGTGTAGTGAATTTTTATACCGAGAATGTGAATTCCGGCACCAGACGACTAGATGAGCACCGCCCCAACCGGGCCAAGCCCTGGTCTCCCCACATGTGTGATAGTGTAAAGCATGAAAGTAGTCTGAGGGGAGAGGATATGGCAAGGAAGAGAAAGGAAAGATCCGCAGGGTCAGTTGACTGTTTGTTAGGTTACTCCTCGAGCATTTGTCTGGTATATTTATTCAAAAAAAACAAAAACTGCAGGTCGCAGCAACCGGTCGTTAGAATTCTCCTGCAGATAGCGGCTGAATTCAACCTAGATATGTGGTAGTATCGAAATTCCCCACCATCGGGTTTTGGATCTTAGAACCGATCCGGTGCATGTTCTAGAAATTAGTAACATTTATTCTGAGCCATTCTGTGTAGAGAGGATAATGGCTCGTGATACTCACATTGCATACGGCCACGCCCAGCACCACCATCCACCCCCAGCCGCCGTCGGGCGGCACCAGCGGTCGCACGGGCTGCGCCATCCCTGCGACACACGCGCCGTCGCCTTCGCCATCGCTACACGCGGCAGGTGGGCGCCGCGCCCTCGCGCACGCGCAGTTGGCGCCCGCCAGCGCCTTGGACGCGTCGCCCAGCGCGTCCGCCAGCGCCAGGCTGTCGCTCTCGCGCGCCCCCGGCGCCCCCGCGCGGCGCCGCTCGCCCAGCGCCTCCAGCTCCACCATGGCGGCGGCAGGGGCGGACGCGCTCAGCGGGCGTGCAAGCGGGGCACTGCTCGGTGCTCGGACCGATCGCCAATGTTGTAATACTACAACCGACGCACTAAGATTCTAACACCCAAAACTATTCGAAATAATGTTGAGGAAATGGTGAATTCCAACACTTCAACTGCTAGTCAACAATCACTGACGCACTCAAGCAATACGTGAACACCAGGAATTCCGCCACGGGAGTTGAGGTACGCTCAAATTCTGGAGTTCAATTTCGCTTGCTGTACTATTTGAACACTGAACACAAATGGGAACAGTTTTGAAGAAGAGAGAAGATCACTTTGATTTGATCACTTCAACCGTAAGCTATAAATGAACATTGGAAATTCCGCCACAGACGTTTAAGCCTGTAATAATATTTTACTACAATTGCCTTAGCACAATAATTCAAAACTCAAGACAACTGGAAACGATACTGAAGGAAATGATATAAACGAACACTTCCACTGCTCAACGAAAAAAAATCCGATGAACAGAATAAATGTATACAGCACCGAGAAAACCAGATTGTGAGCTGAATAATGAACTAAAATCACACTTGCAAAATGAGACAACACTGAGAATTCACTGGAAGCAATCTTCGGGGATGTGATACACACTTCAACATCGCAGATCCTTCCGACACAATGGTCTTTTTCATTCGAAAAGCGGAAATAATCGTAGAGCTCGAAAAAGTTTAATTTACTTCTGAAGATAAACAAGAACTTCAATTTATCGACACAGACGTTGATTGATCAATCAATTTCGATTCATAACATGAAATTCTCATCACTCGAAAACTAGAAAACGTGTCCACACCATCCATAGTTACGATGCTCGTAAATCCAAGCAGCATTGTCCCACTGCACTGATTCCGCGATATGTTCCCTCGGCCCTCCTCAACCGCACTGCCGCTCACCGAGAGGCGGCTCGGCTAAATTAAGCCGCTGCGTGACTCAACCACGCGCGCTCCGTGGTGCTCACCCGTGACGAAATCGCGCAACGCCACGCGCAATAGTCTTTCTGCAACGAAAGAACAATTCTTCCCAAAGTTACGCACTCGGTTGTGCAACGCGACGGGCCGCGTGCGCTGTGCACACAGTTATTGTTGCAGCGTTCCGCCTATAAGCCTCCTGACGCCCCGCGTGCCGGCTCCGTGATAACAGCCTAACAAACCGTGTGCCTGCGTCCGCCGCGGCCAGATGAGTGCAGGCTCTCGGTGGGCGAAGATAAGGCTGATAAACAACGAACGAGCCTCCATCGAAGAGGATATGGGCCTGGAGATCACTGGGTGTGCATAGACAGAGGATTGGTAAAATTCCACGTCAGAAGTATTTGCAACAGTGCAAATAAATCACAGATTTACAGGCTGTGTCATTCTAGCACTTTTTGGGAAATGTTTTCTTAAAAAATTAATAAAAGTAAAGAATACAATATTCTGCTTGATAGTTATATATGAAAAGCAAGAATATGTATATTTTATTTTACGAGTATATTAGTATTTTTTAAATACATTCCAAAATATATCACTTTACCTTAAATATTTAAAACGCTAATATGTATTTTTATATTCAATATCGTTGTAAGGAAATTTTCAGTATGAATGTTCAACAAATAATGATCAAAAGTATTAACCGAACATTACATGTTATCAAAAAGATAACTGTGCATTATTGTTTAGTGTTTCTTTTCTTCAGGATCATAGTGAAAAAACTAATTAATAAAAATGTTAACCGAAACAAAGTTCGAAGAACATCGTAAAATCCTCCTTTCAAAGCGTAATAAGAAATCATGCATTAATGATTTGTAAGTTAAATCATGTTTGAATGATTATTTTGTGCACTTGCTCGGAAATATTCATTTGAAACACACGTACTGTAAATAGCGGAATCCACAAGATTTTACTATGAAAATACTACTCTCGTGGCCATGTTTCTTGTTATATGTCAATACCTGTACACAGTGAATTCCCTGAGTAGGATAGTAAAGTTTCCTACTCAGGGATTTCACTGTGTTGGTGGGAAAAACATGGACAAAAAACATAAGGGCGGCTACGTGATAACGTGATTTCGGAAGCAACCGCTGTAGTCTCATTACAAAAACAATCCTGTAGCTACTATGTCTATATTTGTTACGTGTAATTTCATATTAACAAGACAGTTCTTACTCCTGAAAGCAGCACTGAGTTCCGAGGGATTTGTTTGGTCCAATGTCATTATGCTTCACTTCCGCTGAAATATTCCATTCTTTGCGGTCAGTTTGTTAGGAAATCATTTTTGTAAACACAGTTTCAAACCTACTCAGTATATTTGATCTGTTTGAAATTTCGTGTCAAATCTCATGTTTCAATATAGGATGTTTCAACACAGAGACGTTTTGTTTCCAGTTCTCAAAATACAGCTGGTTATTAAATTTACACACGAAAACGAAAAGTATGGAACATTCTGTAAATAAAATATCATTTCGTCGATATAACGCTTGTTTTCAATGTAATAAATATATAATTACCCTCAAGGAATCTTAATCGTCCCGTAAAAGCCCCACTCAGAACAGAGTTGGTATTCCAGTAAAAAGTATACACAAAATATCGAATCTCGCAACAAAGTGTGTAAAATAATAAGTGTCCAACAGTGTATACTTTCAGTGGTGAATAAAGAGCCATAGTTTCAAATGACAACATTCATTAACTACTATAAATAATATTACATTTGGTTTGGAGTGATTATATCACGCAGATAATCTTATCTATGCAAACATAAGTAATAATAATTATAATGAAAATAAAGCAGTAGGTAGTTCCATTTTAATTTTTTAAATATGTCAGAAAAACGTAAAGCGTTCTTCACTCGCTTTAGATACCAAGTAAATAGTGCTGTATGAAATATTGTTGTTAACAAAAAAGTGAAAATGGTAAACCGCGATTTTAGAAAAAAATACACTTTTGATACTTAAAGATATTCACAACTAAAGAACGTTTGAAAATATTCCAATGAACGGAACCCTGATGAAACCGATTATTTGTCTAATCTCCACAACAAATGATGCTACAACAGAACGTACTACCTCGTATAATAATGCGAGGTAGTACATACGTAGTAACGGTTACGTAATTTAATACTGCAGTTTGCTTCCTACTAATGACTCAGCCACCTCTTCTAAACTCTCTTCAACAAAAAAGACGCTGGAAATTCGAATTCGAATTTACAAAATTTCAGCGATTCTAAAAAATTCGTTCTTAAATAATATAAACATGCACTTCATTCTTTTCAAGCGAACAACTAAATAAAAAATCTCTCGCTCTAAATAGATTTCCGGCCTCCGCTTTGGCAGATCACAGCGAAGACCGCTCACCAGTGGCCCACGTATTTCATACAAAGAAACAATTTACACTTTGTATCTTTCTGAAATGAGAAATTTTATAAGATATTATTTGAGAAATTAATATCCACAACACGTAATTCATTAGAATATAAAATACACATTACGAGTAAATGTTAATGTGCAGGTTATTCGAAAACAATACAAATGTTTCCCTTAAAATATTATACAAATGTTGATGAATTTGGGTCGAAGATGCTCACGAGTTCTATCATTATAAACAGGCCAAAGGAAAAATCTTAAGCCTTTCTAAGAAAATTATGTTTACGAATTTGCGGAAAATATCCACAATATCATAAAAATTATGAAAAAAAGAAATATTTTGAAAAAATGACAAAATGATTTAAATTATCTAACATTGAAGAGTATATTGCATTCAGAAATAAATCACTAGCTTCGATATTGAAAGTGTAGAACGTATTCGGAAAAATGAACTTAGTGCACTTTGAATTATGTTCTGTTCTATTGAATTCAAATTCTTTAAAGGTGTTTTTTCGAAAACCCTTTTTTTACTTTTTTTAGAAAAGTGTCATGATATCACTCTAAATTACGGAAAAACAAAACATATTTTCAAAACGTTTCAGAGAAAGTTCTTGTATGATTTAGGCGCTAGTGTTGGTTGCAAAGGAGGCAGACGGGCAAGATTTTAAAAAAATATTTTTTCGGCATTAGGGACCTCAAACTGAGTATTTCTTTCAAAATCTGGAAGTCAATATTTTGCACTACTACGCAATGTTTTATACATTGCTTATAAAAAATTAAATATAGTTTTCGTAAATATAAAACGCACATTTATATTGTTATTCTCTTATTTCCATCCCTGAATTAGAGGTATAATAAAATTATTTTTAATTGTATGACGTACTTCGTTTCATTTACAGTGTATGTCAGCCGTGACGTTTTTACCTAGAAATGCATAATTTAACAAAAGAGTCACGTCCCATGTCTAAGTGTCAACGTTTCGTCAGTAATTTGGCAAAAGTAAAACATTTTTAACTTCATGTTTTGTCTTCACATCCGGACAGCGGCACATGAGATTACGCAATCAGCAATTGTCTATTGTCATAGCAGACATTTCTCATCAAAAGAGCTACGTATTACACCAGCACACAAGGTAGGAAACACGAACACTTACATTTCCATTTACACTTACATTTACAACTTCGACGAAATCATTCTGCATTCTATCTTTTGATTCATATGTCACAATATTCAATGTTTTTCGTAAGACCAATTAAATAAACATTTTGAATGCCAGTATTTCAGAATACAAGTGCTCTCAGTAATTACCAAGCAAACTCCTTCTGTTTTATATCCTGAGTGCCTCTCGGAGTAAATATTATCATGCATTAAGAGGAAGAGGAACATAGTGACGAAAACAACACAGACAAAAGTCTCCTATTGGGGCACGTGTCAATTGGGATATTAGAGAGTGAAGAACATTGTTAATTATGTCTGCTTATAGAGAAATAAAGAATGCAAGAGTTAGTAGGTACAATCGAAGCCATGTATCCAACATCATTATGCATCATCATCAACATCATTTCTTGCTACAATGAACGCCTGACGTATTAATGAATATATGACGCCCATTCAGTATTAATGAATTCAGCACCGCTTGATATCATTTAACAAGAACTACGAATTATTTCCAATATATTTGTGTACTTCGCAAATTATCCGACTCTATACACATGATATAACAAGTACCTGGTAACCACCCTCAACTGTATTTTTAGTGCACCGAGGGAACACTTCATCGGATGACGACGCCAACGATTACTCATTCAGCAACTTCATCTCATCATTGACCCATCCTGTTCCGCCACGCTCCATCTCGTTCACATCGCCTGCTCTGTATTCACCTAACTCCCTCTGCCACTGTGTTGCCGATACCTACGACCTGCCCCCGGCACGGCTGCAATGCAATACAGTAATGCAAATAATTAAACCAAATTAAGAAAACAAAATCGAGTGTAACATTTTAAATGATGAAACACATATGTTAGTCTCTTTCACTCAAAAGTATTCGTACTAATTTTAGTCGAAATTGCTCCACAGGTTTCAAAGTTTTCCGGGAACAAACTTATACACATACATCGAGTTATATATAAAAGTAATTGAAAGGTATTCATTCTGCCGGGGTTTTGCTCTTTTCGGTTGTTCTCTACTCGAAGGCCGCCAGTTGTTCGCCGTCCTCGAGCCGCAAGT